TGTAGGGGTGAACAACCGTTAGGAATTGCGGTGAGAGAAGACGATCGAGTAGGGGATGAGGGTGGTTGCACAGGAAGTAGGTGTTGTAGGTTATGAGTTTTGAAACCTGTACAATAAGCTAACAATTAATACTTTTTGAAAATTTTAGTAGGGAGGAGAATAGTTGGATTTGCAGATAGAAGCTTTAAAATATGTACATCAAGTTTGATAGGTAATACCTCTTAAAAATATCAAGATAACCGTAAATGCCATTTTAAAAAATAGTGCAGATAAATATGAATATAAAATGAAAAAATATTTGATATTAGGTTCATTTTGAAGGTACTGATGAGACCATTATTTAGAAATGTATTTTTTTAATGTATTTTAGTTTATATATGCGATTATTTATATTGATATGATAATTGTGTAAAATAAAAAATGAAAAGATGAGGGATATAAAATAATTAAATAACTAATTATAAGGATACAAAATATAATTTAAAATTTAAAAATGATTTATTTTTAATATTATTTTAAGATATTTAAATTTGTAAATTATACCTCTTAATTTTTTATAACAAGTTTTTAACAACTTTAATAGTATTAGAAGGGTACTCGAGCAATGCAGCGAGATATATTTTGATATTAATATTTCGATTTTTTTTTTTTTTGGTCTTTGTTGATATTATAATATGGATTTATGTGATTTTGAGTAAGCAATAATGTTTTTTTATTAAAATATAAATTTGAAGATATCATAAAAATTAAAAATATATATATAAGTTCTCATTTTTTATATAAATTCTTTAATTCAATTTTTTTATTATAATTTAATTTATGTTTATTGACGAAGTAATTTGTTTTTGATTTAATAATACAATTTTTATAAAGATAATAACTAAGTATTCTGTTAGGAAACTCAATAATTATCATAATTATATTGTAGATGTATTTGAAATGAGAATTATCATGTATTTGATTATATTTATCTACATTTAGTTACACAAATTTAAATATGAAGCTTAATTAGTTGTACTTATACATAAATTATTTATAATATTGAATTTTAAGTAATATGCATTAATAGCTAGTACCTCATGTATAAACAATGGGTTTTAAGAGTGTTTCTCAAGTGTTTATCTATACTACTTTATAAACAAAATTTGTCAAAAGTCTTAAAAACAATATTTAATGCACAAAGTATTTATACTATCTTATTAAGCAAATTTAACAAAAGTCTTAAAGTCTTAAAATATTAAATGACCAAAATACCCTTTATACTCACTTTTTTACTTTTCACTTTTTCACCCCTTCCTCTCCTCACATACATTCACCCTCTTTTAAATTTACATTTTATACTCCTATAATTAATTTATTTTACGTCATTTACTTTTAAATGTTTTATTTTAAACATTTATCAAATTAACATACATAATCGTATATCAATTAAAACATGTTTAAAAAATA